CTCAATCAGCTCATGCCCCTTCCTATATAACCCAGCACCTTTCCCTAATAAAGCGGAATTCTCTGGTGAATTGCTGCTGTGTGTCGCTCCTTTCTTTCACCTGTCTCCTCAGGAATAGGTGCAGATACCCAGGGAGGTAACACTGCACTCTGACATTGGCCACTTTCAACTGTTCTGCAACTGAGTGTTTACGTCTATTCATTTTCATCTGACAAACTCCCCACCGACAGACACTGCGTACCCGCCGGGAACGCTCTAGGTGGGGCCGTGCCTCTCCTGGGATTCCTGCTGCTCTCTCCCACCAGGCTGTCTCTCCGTGGGAAGAGCGCAGGGCACCCCTACCTAGAACGTATGCGCAGTCAACACCCACCTCGGACTCTCATTTCACCACTTTTCAAGGCCTTCTTTCTGCCGTCTCACTTAGGACAGATCATGTCTCGGTTATTTGCTGCTGTTTCCCATAAGACCCTAACATCTGCACTGAGAGGCAATACCCCCATCTGTGGGAGGAGTATATATTCTACTCCCTTGATGCCAGGCTTGAATATGACTTGTTTTGACCAAAAGAATTTAAGTGGAAGATCAGACATCAGCCCCCAGTGGTCAAGAGCCGAGGCGGGCTTCTGCCACCGCTTGGCCATCTGAGCGGCAGGTGCTGGCTAAGGCTGTTCCTTCTCTGGGTGCCAGCGAGGGAAAAGCCCGTGGACTGCAGTTGCAGCTGACCCACAGCCAGCATGGAGCCAGTGAAGTCAGCCCCTGTGCGTTGCAGCAGCGAGCCGCTGAGATATGCGGACCACTTGTTGCTGTAGCATCACCTGGCAAGAGCTGACTCAGGATGCGGCTGATTTGGGAATAGCTCTCAAAGGAGCTGAATCAGCAAGAAGCTGCGTAATGGAAGTCCCTTAGTTTTTGAGGCATAAGCACAGGTTTAAGGATTATCTGTTCACGCAAATGGCAGTGGCCACCCTGTCCACTGCCTCCAGTGGACACACTTCTGCACAAACTTACTCCACCGACGGCCCAAGTCCCGGGGCCCGCAACCTTTCACAATGTTGTGGGGCCACTAGGGCTAACCAGAGGCTGCCGCCCAGCAGGCCCCGCGGCAGGGAGCGCAGGGCTGCAGGGGCGCACGTACCGTGCCGCGGAGGCCCGCGTCCTGAGGGCACAATCGCGCCGAGCTCCTTTGAGATAACAGCCTGGCCCGAGGAGGGCCGCCTTCCCCGGCGGGCTTTGCAAAGGCCTGTGCTGGCACGCCCGTCACCGCCAGCTCGGCCCGTGCGCTCCAGGCGCGTGCGGGGACACGGCGAGCGCCGGAGGCCGGGCTCTAAGCCAACTCCACGGGTCGGACGGGAGGAGACTGGCTGGCAGGGACGCCGTTCGCATGAAGGGACCAACCCGCGCGCGCGCAGCCTCGGAGCATCAGGGGGCGTGTCCCCGTTTCGGGACGTCAGGGGGCGTGTCCCGGCCTCGGGGCGTCGGGGGCGTGTCCGAGGCCAGAAGCCCAGAGGCGGAAAAGGGCCGGCGTTTGCGGAGGCCGCGGGTCCCCCAGCATCGAGGGCGGTTCTGCGGCTGGGGTCGTGGTACAGAGCTGGCCGGGACGTGTGTGCGGCTGGCGGGCGGGGTAAGGCGGCCGGACACTTGGCACTGGGGCGCTCCTGGGGGTCGGGGGACGGGCACGGGGCCCACTGGGGTGCAGGGGGCGGGGCCGGGGCCCCAGGAACAACACCGGGGGTGAGGGGCACTGACCCCCGCAGAAGTGGAAAATCCAAGTACCTTCTAACTCACCAAGAACTTAGGTACTAATATTATGGGCCGGAAGCTGTGCAGATGACATTATCCACTGACACATACTTTGTATGTTTCCTGCACTAGGAACTGTATTCTTGCAGTCAAGCAAGGTAGAAAAAGGAAAAACTTTTAATTTATTTAAACAAAATGGGCATATAGATGGACCCATGCAGTTCAAGCCAGTTGCTCCAGGGTCAACCCTCTGTCCATTTTCAGGGACGCAAGGCCTGGGCGGGGCGTTTGGCGCCTCTGTCTTTTGACAGCTGAGCCTCCCGAGGATCTGGGCAGGATGAAGCCTTGGGCACCTCTCAGCGTCCTCCTCAGCTCCTTCTGCCTGGCCATTTTCTGGCTGTGCAGCACGGGCGCCCTCTGGAGGAGGTAAGCTACCTGGGGCCACCTGGAGGAGGGGTGCCCCCTGCGCCTGCGGGGCTGGGGTCTCAGCGGAGGACAGCCAAGGACCAGGTAGACAGCGCCTCCGTGCTCTGAAATTCTCTCAGCGTTTGTTGACGCGCATGTTTAGTTCAGATTCCAGGTCAATATTGTTGACATGCTGGTGGTTCCTCTTTCTGAGTTTCTAACTGGAGCTCTTCGTTTCCCTTCCTTTCCCCCTTTCATTCTGTGTTGCAGCGACCAGTTAGGGGTAAACAGGCTGTGTTGTAAAGAATTCGCTTTGTGCTTTTGTAGTGGAAACCTAGATCTGAGTACCAGATTTCAATTTTTTTCTTCTGTCTTATTTGGGTTAATGATCAACTTAATAGAAAGATTTCGTACTTAACCTGGCAGGTGTAAGAAAAGGTGGGCTTTGCTTTGCACTTAAGCACCAGTGCTGTTTTACCACATACTTTAAAAGGTAACATTGTATTTTAGTGTTCTCAGGAAGTATATTTACTGAAAAATAGCTACTTTAGTTAATTTTTGCCATTAGGTTAAGAGTCTATCACTGGAGGGGTGGTGTGGAATGCTGGCTGAGTGCCACAGCTAAAGCAGAAATAATAAAGATAACAACACCTAGCTCCCAGAGTCTATGGGAGGAGAAATCAGTTCAAGCACAGTACTTAGAACCATACCTGGTCACTAGCAATCAATAAATCTTAGCCAAAGACCTTAGGCTTTAATACATGGTACACCCCATTCTCTCCTAATTCATGCAGGTTATATAATGGGACAGCCAACACTAGCCAGGAATGAACACAAAGTTAATCCAGGCTTTCCCACGTACCAGCCATCCTGGGAACCTGGTGGCTCCTCTCTGCTCTGTTCTGGGGCCTTTCTCTTTGCAGCAGGGAGATGCTTCTCTGAACCTCACATCATTCTTTTGCCGGGATTGTAGGTGGAGATTGTATTATAGACGTTCTGAGTCCGGTGGTTTGATTGTAAACGGCATACAGATGGTCTAGCCTTCCTGGCCATTGCTTAAACTTCTAGCCTCAGTTACCACCTATGTAAAAGAGTTTTTGCACCCAGAAAATAAGCAAGCTTCTAACACTTCACGCAGCTCTCCTTCTCATGCTGCAGTTCATCTTTCTTCTTTTATAGAGTGCTTGGGTTGTTAGCTCAGACTGGAAACCAGGTTCTCCTGACGTCTGCATGTTGATTTCTGCACTTACTCAGCAGTACTCAGTTGCTTACAAAAGCTGATGTGTAAGAACTTAATTCTGTTTTACTTTGTAATCTTTCCTTCTAAAATTTAATTTACCCTGAATTAAGTGTCCACCTGAATTATATTCCCATGTGGCTGCTGCTGTTTTCTGCCTCTAGAGGAGTATCTCACATGCTCTCCCTGCTGCCTCAGCCTCCTCTCATGCTCAACCTTACAAACCTGAGTTCCCGGCATGGCACAGCTCCTCAGGGGAGTTGGGTGAGTCCGAGGGTGTACAGGGAAGGCGAGTCACATTCAGATTGTGGACAGCACCCAGAGGCGTTAAAAGGAGCACTGTAGGGTCAAAAGTTACCCATTTTGCAGAGAGCAAGTGCTAGTGCTAGTTCAGGTCACATTTTCTGCCAAATGAACTATAAAGAAATTCAGCCTTTAGGCCACAGGGGTTTCACAAATGCAGCTAAGGGATAATGCTTCTATTTCTAAGCTGTGTGAACATCCTTGAGAGGAGGGCCCTTTGTGGCTCATCCCCTCTCTTCAGGTCTCTGCCTCCCTTCAGGGATGCCCTCCTGGCTACTTAATGGAGAATCTCACCTCTCCCCACCCCCGACCCCTGACACACTTCCTTTGCCTGAGTTTCACTATCACTTATCACTGTGTGACACCGCGTGTCTTCTCAGTTAATGAGGTCACTGTCTTCCTCACTAGCAAGTGCCTTGGGGAGGGCAGGGACTGGGTCCCTGCTCAGGGCGGCACCCCACCCCATGTCGTGTTCAAGTATGATGCAGTATTTGTTGCATGAATGGACAGATGAATTTTCTGTAACTTTAAAAAAAGTTCTTGAAAAATAAGTGCCTTGTCTTTTAACAGTGGCAACCAAGAGTGGAGAAAACTAATTATGGTTCAACACTGGCCTATAACAGTGTGCAAGGTGAGTCTTTCTGCCTCGACTGGTCCCTTTGATCCAGTGAGACTGGCAAAGGGTCGGTTTACCAGCATGTGTCCTCTGGGTCATAAATTCGTGGTCCGGAAACTCATGGCCAACCCTGTGCCGCTGGAGGTGACTACGCCTCATGTCTCTGTGCGTTTCTGGTGCCTTACATGCTGGGGGTAGAGGGGGAAGCTGGGTGGAAGTAGGATGGAGCTCAGCTTTGTAGGGGATCGGCTCTTGCCTTGCCGCTGGGCATCCCAGAGCTGTTGGCTGCTGCAGGAAGGCCCTGTGTGTGGAGCTCAGACCATGGGTGCGGGAAGATCTGCTTTGAGAGCAGTGGCTTGGTGGGTGAGGCATGTATATGGCAAAATGTGGGTGTGCCCATGTGCTGATCAGAAATGTGCAGGGAGGGGCATTTCTGCCTTGAGGGTTTTAGACATGAGGTTTTAAAAAACTCCAGTGCAGGGGAACATTTTTGTTAGGGAACTGATTTCCATCCGGGGGGCCATGGTAGGGGCTCTGCTGTCCTGGTCAGGGTGTCCCTCTGGGCAGCAGGGCCATCCTGGTCTCCTTCCTGGTGAGGCGGCAGGCAGCACAGGTGCCCAGACAAACCCATCTTTCCCCACTGGGTTTTGGTGCTCATGTGGGCCTTGCACAGGCCAGGCACTGATGTGAGAGGAAGCTTCCTGTTGGCCCAGTCACCCCCATATAGGTTCATCTGAGGCACTGGAGGGAGAACTGGCAGGGGATCCAGCCAGTCACCTGGTGGAGGGACCAAAGGGGAGGTGGGGTGCAGCCTGGCACCATGCTACTCTCTGCAGGCACCTGTGCTGCCCCCCTGCTCAGGGGATTCAGGTCACCTACCCCAGACCAGGCCACCCGCGGAAGGAAGCCACCTCCCCAGACAGCGACTCAAGGAGGAAGGGCATGCCGCTGGGAACAGCGCACAGAGCCTGCCCCTCCACAGACATGACACCTCCTTTCTGTGCTCACTCCCTGGTCACCAGTTCTGCCCCATCCTGTCTGAGAGCCGGGATATATTCCTTGACAGTTTGTTTTGGAGAAACTGCATTTTTGCTCAACAATTTGGAGGTCCTTAAAATTTTTTACCCCAAGATTTTTATTGTCATGCATTTATGTTGATTATTAAGGATGTCCTATTCTGGTCTTGGCATTTTTGCCCCCAAATGTCTGAATTTTCAGAACTTATTTGTTCACGAATATATTTGGATCTGGAGCCTGAACAGACTTGAGTTTAGCAGGGTAATATCAGCCTTTTGTTCACATTTATATTTGGTTATATGATAAGAAAATTATGGGCAAATCTGAGTGTTTCCATTAGATTCCCTTGATTTGAGAGCACATTTAAAAAGCAGAAATAGGTTTTTAATTCTGTTATCTAATTGTTTGAGGACTGGCCCACTCATTTCAGATAGACCATCTAGCCCCTGTGTAGTTTCCGCACGAATGTGTTGCTGAAATGAATTTGTTGTAAATGACCACGGGAATTTATTTTGTGTTAGTCCGGTCCTGTATCTCTTTGATGTAGTCAAAAGAAATGAAGGTTGCTAAATGTATTTTAATTAAGCCAATTATTTTCTTTGTTTCTTTTTTTGTAGGAAGTTGGAAACAACTGTACAAGCCCTCCAGATTACTGGACAATACATGGATTATGGCAAGCATTTAAGACATCTAAAACTGACTTGGAGTCAGAAGAAGCTAGCTAACTTGAAACTCTAGCTTGAGTCTGCTCCTAATATTTATACTAGTAATTTTTGTTAGTTTACTTATTAGACCAGATCTTGATTTTAAAATATTTTTTAGTTTTTCTAACATAATACTAATTCAGTTGTTGTTTAATTCTGTTTTGATAGAACAGTTACAGCTTAGTTTAGATACATGCATTTAGGGATTCTGGGTACATTCTGGCATCACTATATTTAAATTTTCTCATTTTGTTCTTTTGGAGGCAGTAAACAGATATGAAGATGAATGTGCGTATTATATAAATCATACATCTCTGCAGTATACACACATCACAGACACCCAAATGCAATTTTCTGGCATTGCCTGCAGCTTTTTAGTTTATACATTTGTTAATTCATATATTTTTGATATGCACATGTGATAAACTGTGCACATACTTTGCCTGTCATAGGGGCCCCCTCACTGCTTCCACGAGAGGGGAGCTATCCTGGCTTTTGCTGGCACAGGCTTGCTCCTCAGAGACCAGGGTTCATAAGAAGCAAATTAACTGGGGACCTGGCTGTAGTCCCACTTCGTCCCAGGCTCTTGGGGTGACCTTGACACTTTAGTCTCTGGGATCTTGGCTGATGCTCACTTCAGCCTCTCTCCCAGCTGGATGACAGGGCATAGCTGCTCCCACCCTGGTGGGGTCATCACGCTGGTTTAATCGCGCTGCAGGGCCTGCTGTTTTTGGCAGTGGAGACATGCTGGGGGGCTAGAGAGGAGATTTGGTGGGCTCTTGAATTAAGCTGCGTCAGAAGACTGAGAGCTGACCTCCAGAATTGAACACGTGGAGCCAAAGCAGGAGTAGGGAGGGTGAGGTTCTCGGTGTTTAAAAAACCATGCTCATGGACCCTGAGTCATTAGCAGGCACTTCCCGAGCACGTTACTGTTGCTCATGATCCTCATCACAATTTAGAGCTGGAACTGCCCTGATCTCGCAGTGACACCTCACATGGCACAAAGCATTCCCGCTTAGAATCTCTCCTCCTCTGCTCTCTGCAGACCTTGGTGGAAGTGTCATTTAGAATTCACCCCAAACAAGACTCATTCCTGTTGTCTTTTTAAATTCTCATTTCTAGGCCTGATAGAGCTGAAGAATGTAACAGATCGTGGCACTTTGACCTAGAGGAGATTAAGGTACTGTTCAGTGTGTCACTGCAGATCTCTGCGCCAGATTAGCTCTTGCCTTCCTAAGTGGGCCCTCAAAGCCATGTTTTAACATGAGGGGGTTCTGAGTGTCTTTACCAGGACTGAACAGCTGGCATATTTAAAACAATCCCACATGCTAATTAGGACCTAATCTTTCTCCTCCTGTGTCCCAAACCCAAACTGTGCACTGAAAGCAGGTGTGTGCGAAGCTGACCTTGACTCTCGTCTGCCAGCCACCAGTAGTCCCCTTCCCTGGTGGCTCTGTGGCGAGGCCCATGGAGATAGCTCTGGCCTGGAGTATAGGCCATGAAAGCCATGGCTGTCCTTCCTGGCTGTGGGTGGGTAGGTTCCTAAGTAGGGCCTGTGAGCAGGAAGGGATGGGCCTTCCTAGCCCAAAGGCGTGTCTTACAGAATAACCCATGGACTCGTGTTCACCAGTGTTGTTAGCAGATGTTTCTTTTTGAGGCCCTCCTACCTCATGTGTACAGAGGTACCTGCATACATGCATGCACCCACATGCACACAAGTGTGCTCACCTTTCCTCGGGAGTGCTGACAACCCCTTGGGTGTAACCAGTCATCTGTCTGGGTAACTAGTACCTGGGTTTAAAGGGCAAGGTCCATGAGGTCACTGGTGACTCCCTGAAATCATGGGGTAGAATCAGGATTTGCTACAATTGTGGATCTTTCTCATGTACAGCCTCCAAAAAGGCAAGGTAATTATTCCAAACCCATCACAGGATCCAGTCCAAAGGGAACTCTTTTCTCCTTTCTCTTTCCTTGAGGTTTTTCGGGAGTGTGAGTCAGGAGGCCTGAAGGGCCAGGGACCATCTGTAAGAATGATACGTGCACCCCAAAGTCTGGTCATGCCTCCCTCCTCAGGCACACGTTCCTCCTCCTGGGCTCACCTCCACTCCCCCTAATACCATGAGGGATGTTCCCAGTCAGGGTATCTTGACCCTAAAGTGCAATTAGAGATTAACTTATTCAGTAATGTACTGGATGCCTATAGTTTGTCCGGAGCTGTGCTGGGATGCTAGGACAGAGTGGAGACACACGGCGAGCAAAACCACAGGTGGTCTCTGGCCCACATGGCTTACAGCTGGGGAGACAGCTGCTGATGAAGTCACCTCACACATGCAGAAATATGAGCTGGGCGCCTCGGGAGAATACCGCCAAGAGCTCAGGGCCGTGGGCCTGTGTGAGGTTCCGCTGAGGAGGGGCTGTTAGAGCTGGAGTCTGACTCAGCTAGCTGAGGGCAAGGAAGACTGAGGAAGCAGCCTGTGCAAGGACCCTGGGGTAGTACAGGGCCTTTGAGGAACTGGGATAAGCCAGTGTGGTGGGAGGGGGAGCAGTGAGCCCAGAGAATGCTTGGGGCCAGTTCATTCAGAGCCTGTGGGCTGGGTGGGGAGCTGTTTCTCTGACTTAAGACCCAGTGGGAGTTGCTGGAAGCATGCAAGCTGGAAAGTGAGATAGCCCGGCCTGCATTTTCTGATGGTTGCCCTGCCTTCACGTCAGCAGTAAGAGCTGGCGGCAGGGACAGGAGGGTGCTTCTGCAGGAGGCAAAGAGCCATGAGAGTGGCAAGGGGGAGGACATCCTGGAACTAGAGTGGACAGGCCCAGGGACGGACTGGCTGGAAGAGGAGGCCTCCAATAGGATGTGGCAAGGGCATGTGTGCTTCAGGGCTGATGGTCTCCTTCCTGGGTATGGGATGAGCGGGCAGAGCCCGGGCTTGGGGCTGACGGGCTCCTTCCCAGGTACGGGGCATGTGGGCAGGGACCTGGCTTTGGCAGCTGTGTGATTGGGAGTCAGCTTTGCTGGTGCTGAGTGTGCGGAACCCTGCAATCGTCCAGTGGGCTGCATGCATCAGCAGAAGTGTGGCTGCAGGTGAACCTCAGGCGCCATCACCCTGGAGGCAGTAAATTAGCTGTAAGTGTGAGTGTGGACAGTGTGGGAGAGGCAGGAACAGGCCTCCAGGAGCCCCACTGTTTGAAGGGCATGGGGACTGTGAAGGGCAGCCAGAGGAGGGGGAGCCTGGGAGGTGGGGAGGGTGAAGGAAATGGGGCCAGTTCCATAAAGGAGGCTGAACATGTCCTTTGGATTGAGCCACTTGCAGGTCAAGGTCGGGGGCAACCCTAAGCCACTCCTTGTTCAGAAGTAACAAGTAACGGCTGGTTACTTGTGTAGCAAACTGTCCAATTTAGCATTTATCCTAAATAAAAGTGACCTAGTTTGGGCAATAAATTATATCACCACCCTGCATCCCTGAGGGCTGATGGGGCGGCAGCCAGACTGTGGCAGGTAGAAGGTAGGTGGAAATGGAGACAGGCAGACAGTGTCCCGACAGAAGCTTGGCTATGGGGAGGTGAAGGCAGGGCTGCATCTGGGCAGGTGGGAGGCTGGGGGTCAAATTGCTGAATAGCTGGTGGGCTGGATCCTTATGGGGGTGGGGGGTGTGCTGACAAATACACCAGAGTGGGTCACCCTAAGTTTGTGTGGACACCTTTATAATCAAACCTTTTTTGTGGTCTAGTGGGTATGTAGAAATTGAAGAATGAACTTGAACACTGTTCAGTTTAGGGTAACTGTCTATTGAGTATAGGAGGGCTCAGACTGCCAAGCCCAAAAGAGCTCTTCTCTGCGGAAAGGAGAATTTCTATTCTGTGTTGTTTTAATTAGTTGACATTGTTTTTTAGAGCAGCTTTAGAAACCTAAAACAGAAAAACTAAGTGGAAAGTACAAGGTTCTCACATGCCCCCTCCCCCCAGTACACACACACACACACACACATGCACTTTGCCCTATTATTAGCCTCTGGGATTGGTGTGGCATTTTTGTTAAAATCAATGAGCCAGTATTGGTATGTTAGTACTAACTAAAGTTTATAGTTCGTATTAGGTTCACTCTTTGTGTTACCTAGTTTTATGGGTTTTCACAAATCCATAATGTCACATATCCACCATCACACAGTATTTTCACTGCCCTAAACACCCTCTGTGCTCAGACTAGTCATCCCTTCCTCTCCCAGCCCCTGGCAACCACCGATGTTTTATTGTCTCCATATTTCACCTTCCCCAGGATGTCATAGAGCTGGAGTCATACAGTGTGTAGTCCGTTCAGCCTGGCTTCTCTCTCAGAGTGATATGCATTTAAGGTTCTTCCATGTCTCTTCGTGGCTTGACAGTTCATTTCTTTAGCATTGAATAATAGTCCATTTTTTGGATTCACTACAGTTTATCAACTCACCAATGCGAGATTGTATTTTCAAATGCACTTACATGATTACTCAAATTTTACCTTCAAATGTTTTAAGAAACACTTCATTAAGGTAGGCACAGAATCATTTTACTCCCCTGAGTGTTACTAATTAACAGAAGTCAGTTCTTCTACTGTCTTAGTTTAGTAAATTTACCTGATAGACTTTGAGTTGTTAGGTCCTACACAGATTGTTGTTTGTTTGTTTTTGTACATAGGACCTTTTGCCAGACATGAAGATGTATTGGCCCGATGTGATCCATCCACTCAGTCTCAGCCATTTCTGGTAGGTCTGAGCTCTGGCAGCCAACACGATCTTGAAACACCAGGGCAAGAGCTTTGTGAGTGCAACCTAAGTGGGCCATGGGACACAGAGGGCAGCGACAGAGTGTGCCTCTGAGGGTGAGAAGTTTGAACACCTTTTATCTAGAACAGCCTGTTATTGGGTGTGCAGTTTGGGGCGTCTTTCTTCAGGGGACAGAAAATGAGAACAAATGGAATTTGCTTCATAAATTTGTTTTTAGTCTGTTACTTCATTCATTCCTCCATTTAAAACATTTCCTCTGAGGTTTAACTAAGGCAAACACATGCATACCTACAAAAGCCAAACCTCACCTCCAGACCAGATAGGAGAGGCTGTTAGGAGGCTGTGCTATTGTTTTGAAATTTGTCAAGAAAAAGGTGTCTGAACTGAGGTCGTTACCTCATTCACATGACTTAAGGAGGAGAGGAGGTGACATTGTCCCTGGAGGCTCAGTCCACACCTGTTCCAACGAAACTCTATTAACAGAGCAGGAGCTGAGTGAAGAGAAAAATGCTGCATTTAGTCCAAGGTATCTTCTTAAATCACCACTTCTGAAGAAGATAAATGAACATTCCCTGTATTTACATTGTATGTTAACCAAAGATAATTCTTTATTTTCTCCATCTCCCTCTAATGTGGCAATTTGTAATTCACATTACAATTAATCAGATTTTGTCCAAAATAAGTCATTTGGAAGTATTTTTGTGCAGAATTTTCTGGAAAAGAGTTTAGAAGAAAGCTTTCTGAAACCAAATAGAGTTGAAATGATGTCTGCCTTCTGGGTTCACCAGTGTTCAGGCTGAGATTTCACTTACCTGAGTGTGGCAGGGAAGTGGTTTCAGGATTTGTGGATCCCAGGTCTGTACTTGGAAACCACCCATTCAGTAGAAAAGAGAATCACTCAGTGAACATTTGAGAGATGGGTGATTCAGGAGTCTAGCAGTGCCCTGCGCATAGCTGTGTTCTAGAAAATGGTTTCAGCATAGATAAAGGCCTTAATAAGTTGAAATGGGGGACAATGACAGAAAGTCTTTTATATCACACTTCAAAGTATACTTCAAATGAGGAACACTTGGTAACCTGGCAAAATATAATTTTTCCAGTTGTTGAAATGTTCCATGACAGAGCCTATCAGATTTTTGCCAAATGACTTAAACATAAATCAACAAATATGCACAAGGACGGTCTTCTGTGCATTAAATCCTTGAGCATTTAATCAGAATTGTGGGGCAGACTACACATTTATTTTTGTTGGCTAATAAAGTCAAAATGAGAGACTTTTTCAGGTTGGATAGTTAGACACTTAAAACTTTTGCTTTAAATGGAAAGGTAAATACCCCACATTAATTAATATTTATCCTTTCTAGAGCTCTTGTGTACAAACGAGAGATGTGGAGACTGCCTACTGGGCACTGTCATTACTGTCGCTCTAACTACTGCATTGGGGTCACTATTGCCCCAATTCCCTTTGCTGTACAAGTTCCTGGAGTGTCCACAGGGGCATCAACAGGCTTCTCCACCTCTGCTTTGCTGTCAGTGGGGAGACTTCTGCCAGCAAACTTTGCTCTTTAATCCCAAATGGGAATCAAGTATGCAAAGGAGAGGGTCTGGGCATCACTTGGTGCTTGAGATCATTCCCTAAGATTAGATGTGTTAATAAAATTAACCATATTGAAAAATACTACATACACAACCGCCTGCACAGCAGGACTTCTGCTTGTTTCTCGATTCTTTTAAGAAAAAAATGAGAGTTGGCTCATGCCCAGCTGGCTGCACAGCCTCACTGTGGGGTGTGCTCAGAGCCCCTGAAAAGCAGCTGCCTGTCATCCCCGAGGCAGGCGGGTGACAGCGGAGGGTGACCTCAAGATCCACCCACATGCCCTGTGTGGGGTGAGGGTGACACAGTGGTCACTTTGATTGGTCACTAACAATGCTGTGTTAAATGAAAAATGATGTGTGACTAAATGTTTTGAACTATGATAATATCAATATGTTAATATATTCTTATCCCTGACATTTACTGAGTTAAGCTTGCTCCAAAAGTAATAATAGCTGGCATGTGTTGAATACTTATGAGGAGCCAGGCACTCTTTGGCCTGTGTAAAGTGCATAGCCTGTTTCAGCTCATAATCCCCCATTACTCAGTACAGGGGGTTTAGGGTAAGGATTATTCTGTTTTACAGAAACTGAGACACCAAAATCCAGGTTACATTTCAATCAGCTGGAAAGAGTCTCCTTTGTCTTCTCTGTAGAATATAGAAAGTTATAAAGTAATTTGCAGTGGAAGCTATTCTAGATGAAGAAAATTATCTATTTTTATTTTCCTCCTGGTTTTCTTAGGTCTGAGAGACTTGTAACTTTAACAGTGTCACTGGGATGAACTTTACCAGTGAAGGAGGGCACATTTTGATGGCAGTTTTGTAAGACAGTATATGATTGTTGTATGAATACTTGCACCAGTGTTGTTTATTATAACTGCTCGGATTAGTCACAGAGAAGTGCGGAACCCTGACGCCCACCTTGTTTTCCATGCTAATGGTGCTTAACATCTGAATAGCCAGGTTGCCAGTCATTCTGATGGTGGGTATGAATTACATTTAGCTGTCCCCTGGACGGTACTGCAAGGCCATGGCAGGGGGCCTGAGGGTACAGTCAAGTGGGGCTCAGGTGCAGACGCTGCCACTTCTGGCCCAGTGGCCTTCCACAGGGCACCTAGATAGCTGCTCTGAGACTCAGTTTCCCCATTTCTAAACCAGCCGTGATTTTTCCTCCTTTGGAGAGTTGTGAGAACCAAGCAGAGGATGTGAAAACATTTTGTAACTTATCTGCAATAAAACGTGAGGAGTTACCAGGAACAGTATTTTTGTCGAATCCAAAGGGCCAGTTGTTCTACAGGCGTTGGGTTAGGCTGTTTCGCCACGGCCCCTCCTGGAGGTGGGCGCTGCTCAGTCACGACCGTGGGGCTGACCCGGGCATCCGCCGCGCTGCCCTTTCTCCGCTAGCGGCTTACACACGACCGCTCAGCCTGTGTGTGGAACCCCTGGCTGTAAAGCACTGGCTCTCTGCAGGGCTCCAGGTGCTTCGGGAGTGCGTGGGTGCTGGAGTGGCCTCTCCTCCCCCTGGCTGGGGTCTGCGAAGTGCTGCCCGGGCCGGGGCGGGTCAGCCATGTAAGCTGCGCAGAAGGTGCGCACCGGGGCTAGCTGGCGGTGGGACCCCCGCCCTTCCTGCACGGCTCCCGTCCTGTCCCGGGGGCCTTCGGGAACATCTCCGCCGTGCATTCTTTTCATTCCTCACTGGAGGTCGTTAACCCTCAGGAAGCATGAGTGGGAGAAGCACGGGACCTGTGCTGCCCAGCTGAACGCCCTCAATTCCCAAAAGAGGTACTTCGGCGCAAGCCTGGATCTGTACCACGGGCTCGCGCTCAACAGGTAGGCGGCCTGCTGGCCTGGGCGCGGGGAGCCGGGCGCAGGGTCCCTCCTGAGGAACACGGCTCCTGGGGACCGTCCCTGTCGCGGTCCAGCTGTGACTCATCAGACGGTGGGCCTGATCGGGGCCTCCGACCGGAGCGTGTCTGCGAGCAGGGCAGCTCTTGCCAGACCGGGCACTTCTGGGCCTTGGCACAGTGCCCTGGGGCACACAGGAGGGGCAGTGGGCGCCAGTCCTCGCAGGGACCCGGACCCTGAGGTCCTGCCACTGCCTGCCCTCCCCTCAGCCCTGTGGGCAAGGGACTGTGGGAGTTTGGCACTCCCAAGCTGCCAAACTCAGAGAAACTGCTGCAGGGTCACAGTCCCGACCACTAGTCAGCCTGGCCCCTCTGCCAGCCTAGGCCGGCCTCCCCGGCTGGACTACCCTGGCAGACTAAGTGTGGGGATTCTTACTCTCCACTTATGTGGTCATAATAAACCCGAGGCCTCTAAGAACCATGACAGACGTCCCAGCTGGCTTTAGTCAGGGCAGCAGAATAGTGTCAAGGTCCTGCGTTCAAGGCTGCACGTCAGAACCACCCAGGGTAGCCAGCCCCCTGGCATGTGTGGTCTGCAGGGAGTGCGCAGTGGTGCCCCCAGATGGCCTCCGCATCGCTGTGATGGGAAGTGAATTGGTGTCCAGCTGGAACTGGATGGGGTGGGTCCATGCCAGAACAGGAAGGGTGGCCCATGGGGAAAACAGGATTATGTGGGAAGCACCCAGCAAATAAGGTAAAATCCCGGCTCAGAGCTCCTGCCTTTAATCCAGCTTAGGAAACCATATGAATAGTCTGTACAATTCCACCTTCCTTGGTCCCGTTTCCATGCTGTAAGGTGTTGGGTGGGTTGCCCTCTCATTCCAAAGCCTCCCCTAGACTGAAACCAGCTGCACTGAGCACCCAGGCTAGGGATGCCCCCTGAACAGCAGCATGCTGTGGGTCCTGTGTCACACAATCATCTGTAGGTTCTTCATATGGTAAGCTGCACTGTCCTGCAGTAAGAGTAAGACCTTTGAACACATCTCACCCCAGAAGCATAATAAGACCCACCGTACAGTTCCCATGTGGATCAGCTGGGAGTGTGTGGCCCCTGGAGGGCAGCGAGCGACCAGGACAGGAGGCCAGACTCGGGCAGAGGCCACCTCCGGGCCTTCTGGAGAATGGCGGGCACCCTCTGTCCCCGAAAACCCCCTCAGGTCCTGACCCACAAGGAGTGGGTTTGGCTGACTACCACCCACACACAGGAAAAGGAGATACTATTGAAAGCTTTTAAGAAATTATTTAAATCATTCATCCCTTCATCCAGCATCTATCTATTAAGTACCTCCTATGTACACGTACTGAATCTCAGTAGCTGTACACACCTGCTCGACACGTGCAGATCGCGGAGTCCTGCCACGGCAGGAGAGTCAGTGGGCCCACAAATGGGGGAATCTGGCCCTTAAAGGTTCACACAGCAAATGTGTACCAGGGCCTGCCTGAGAAGCACTACTGGGAACATAACTACTGAGCAATTAAAGGAATTATATTCTTTCCAGTTTCTCCAAGAATAGTCTAAAATCTCAGTACTCACAAAATTTAAATCAAGAAGTCAGAACTTAAAATCCCTTGTAGTTTTCACTATATTATAGACCATTACTACAGATTATCTTTTTCTCAGAGGAAAGCCTATCAAATTATCATAAACAAGCAGTTTTTCATTCACTTTATAATATGAAGGCAGCAAACCTAAAAAAAAAATGCAAAATGTGTTGAACTGAAGTTCTCGGATTACCCACAGATACGGATCCGGGAATTAATGCCAGACTAAACTCAGTAGAAAGCAGTGTAGACTATTCTGGGCTAGATGCCAACTTTCCCCACATCTCTCTCTTACTTCCTTGATGACCTAACTTGGGTCTCTAAAGCAGTGCTGGCTGGCCAGTAGAAATACAATGCAAGCCATAGTCATAATTTTTAATTTTCTAGTAGCCACATCAAAAAGAGCTAAAAGAAACAGGTGAAATTAATTTTATATTTTATTTAACCCAGTATATCAAAAACATTATCATTGCAATTTGTAATAAGTATTTTAAAGCTTGATCAATTTAGCATTTCTTGGATACCACATCTTTGAAATCTGGAGTTTGTCCCATGCTGGCCACACGAGGGCAAGTGCTAGGCAAACTTACTTCTAGGGCCTCAAGGGCCCTTGCCTACTGCCCCTTTCTGCGTGTTCCTGGAGCCCTGCAACAAAGATGCCAAGGTTACTGATACATAGTCCTTTACCGAAACTGTCTTGGTAACACGGTCTACTTTTGTCAGAGATCATGGCTGGGAGGGCAAGCCTGGTCAGTCTTGTCTTCCTCCACTGATGATGGCATGTGGAGAGGGCCTGCAGCTCTGCGTGTGCTCTGTGTGGTCATAACCCGGTTAGAGGTGTGATGGAGGCTAGGGTATTTTTTCAGAATTATTAATCTGAGAAATTTTTATATTGTACTCCCTAATTTTATAAGTGAATCATATGGTACTTTGACAGGATGTACTGGTTAAAATCATGTGCATTAGGAAATAATTCAAGGCTGTAGGCGTTGAACGTACTTAAGGTTTTGACCAAGTGTAGTCCTCCAGGATAAGCCTGGAATCCAAAATCAGTCACTAACTCTCTTTGAAAATCAGCATGGCCAATAGGACGTAGTGTGTGTGCTGACTCTATCTGGCGCTGCTGAGACGGACGCAGGTGCTGGGGAGGGAGGTACTCAGCGGGAGGTTGGGACAGCCTGAGCACCACTGATTCTCTGTCCTTGTTAACAGACTTATTACCCAAAGCAATAGAAAATAGGCACTGTCCTTTAACAGTATCTTAATTTATACTATGAAATACAATCTTTGTAAAGAACAGGAAAGGAAAATGAACCTTCATTATACAGCTAATTTTTTTCTTAATTTAAATTTTAGCATGCTCCAAAAATTGGGGATAAAACCATCTACCAGTTATTACCAGGTAAGCCCTGCTTCCAGCTCTTTATCAAATGTGTATCTGCTGAGGTCACATACAACATTACATCATCACTTCAGTCACTCCACTGCCTTAGGTTTTAAAGTGACCCAAGCAAGCCTCCCACCAACCTATTATGTTTTCCAGTAGGTTTTATTTAAATTTTGTCTTTCTGTGCATATTGAGTAAACTGAAGGCTACTGAAACGAATGATTTTGAAGTGCACCCTTAGGGTCCCTTGGTGAGAATATGTCCCAGGTTCAGATGGGACAGGTGGAATATGCAGTTTAAAAAGCATGTTCAGTTTTTTAATATTTTGTTTGAGGAAGAAACATAAAATTTGTTTTTGTTTTCATGATAAAACTATGATTCCTTTCATGATAAAACTACAGACTTTAAACATGACCAGATCTTATTAGCTGGTAAGCATGTACAAAAGGTAATTATTTTCAGCTCAGGATAGCCTGTTTTTGTAAATAAAGTTTTATTGGTTCACAGCCATGCCCATTCCTTTACATCATCTATGGTCACCTCCTTGAGTAGCTATTCACCAGTGAAGCTTAGTGACCCTCGGGGCCTGAAATATTTATTCTGTGGCCCTTTATAGAGTAAGTCTGCTGACTTTCACTTTAGAGGAATATCAGGTACTTTGAGATAGTTCTTATATTTATCATAGGTGTGGATTAAAAAATGGTTTAAAGTCAGTGAATTTAGCAATTTCATGATTCCAGTATCATGGCTGGATATTGAACCATCATTTTGGTCAATGAATCATCTCGCCCTGTGGCATCTGTGTCTGCTTTCCTCTCCCTGTGGAGAGCGGGCAGGGGAGCATGTCGGCTTTGAACATCCTTCCAAGAAGCCGTGAGTGTTTGCAGGACCCCTTCAGTCCTCTGGATTCATGTTCAAGTAGATAAAGGGAATGTGTTTACATTTTGTCCAGAACATGCCAATCAGAGAACTGATTTCAGGTACAATAAAAGCAACAATGACCACAAATGTTTTTTGATTTGAGCTCCTTGTCTGTGCAGGAGGTGCTTACTTAGGGATCAGAAGTAGCAAGATGTATGACTCAAATAGAGGCCCTGACCTGTGAAAGATAGTTTGATTTACTGTCAGGAGATTTTCAGCATTTGCATCTAGCATCCAGGCAGGATGCTCTGGGTGTAGACGGAGGAGTGGGGCAGAGATGAGCATGGAAACTGTGGAGCCACTTGTGTGTGTGACTGCAGTCTGGTGGGTGGAGCCTGAGCAGTACGTCCTCCCCCTTGTGGGGAGGTGTTGGGGGGCTCGTTCTCCGCATCTGCATATCCTGCCTGTGAGCCAGAGGACCACTCGGAGGATATCACACAGTTGTTGGCTGTGATACATGAGAATGTAAACCACAGTGTCTGAACAAAACAGAACCATTCGATTTTCTCTGGTAAAGCTTCCTTCTAATGCACTTTATTTAATTTCAGATTTCAAATATTAAAGATGCTCTTGCCAGTGTGTACAGAGTCATACCTAAACTCCAGTGTCTTCCCCCAAAACAGGTCAGACCTGCTATGTTTTGTTGCCCTTTCTCTTAATCAATAAGATAGTTCTAGCTTCCCAACAGCTCTGTGTTGACTGTGGCATTCCCAGGGGCAGAGTTGTGTGTATGTGTATGTGTGTGCCAATGCGTGTACCGGCATTTGCTCTGGGTGTGCTGTGTGTGTGTTTTGACCTAACGGCCTGCTAGGGTGGGGTTTTTCTGGTGGACAGCCCCTAGTAAGAATACACCTATTGTGAAAGGGACAGAGTAGTAGGGAGCAGGGGCTCTGGGTATATTTCTATACTCAAACATAAATTAGCAATATCTCAGGGTTTACTTTGTTAGTCTTAGTAATTTTGGTTGTAGTTATCTGTCCAGGTTAGAGATGAATTGTAGTTTCTTCTGTCAGCTGATAAATACTTAAGTTCTTTTATCAGTAGTTTTCCTATTTATCTACAGAAGGCTTTTCTTCTCCCTATACAGTAACCCACATGATATGTGGGCAGATATGTGAATTTCTAAAATGAAGGTGGCGTCCCTCCCGTGTGGCTGCCAGGCTGTCTGGGTGCTGGCCTGGAGCTGGAGCCCCTGCCCCAGTCTGGCGCCAGACAATGGCTTGTTGCTGGAGCCTGGGATCCCATTCATGTTCTAAAATGTGGTGGTTGAAGAACCGTGATGATGATCCAAGACCTGAATTCTGAAGTGTCCTGTTTCCTTTTTAGGGGGAGGAGGTGCAAACGCTTGGTCAGATGTTCTAAAATGTGGTGGTTGAAGAACCGTGATGATGATCCAAGACCTGAATTCTGAAGTGTCCTGTTTCCTTTTTAGGGGGAGGAGGTGCAAACGCTTGGTCAGATAGAGCTGTGCTTCTCTAAGGACCTGCAGTTGGAGAACTGTTCGGAGCCTGAGGGTCCCACGGAGCCCAGGGTGCTGGTGCCTGGTGGGCAGGGCGCCTTGTGGGCCCAAGCCGCTGCTGTGCAGGGCCCAGGGCTGGAGGTCTGCAAGGACGGCTTCGCCTTCTACCCCCCACCTGAAGAGACCCCTCATTGATGCCCAGATCTGGGGAACATTCTGTGTTCTGGAAAGAAAAGAAAGCCACCAACCACTGCTTTTCAAAAAGTAGCCCCAAAGAGTAATCTCATGTTCACAGCCGCCTTAAGCCTGTTCCTTTGTTTTGCTTTTCGCTTCAGGGCTCTGAGTTGATTTTTGCAGCACACGTGAAAACAGGGTGAAGGCTGGTAAACGGAAAGCAAAACAGCCTCCCACGCATGCCCAGGCAGCTCACTATGGCTGGAGTAAAGCTTACAGATTGCCTCCTTTTCTCCTTTATTAAGCTGTCCAGCATCTCAGACCAGGAAGGCACCCTGGAGTTTGGGGCAGATGGTACAGATTCAGGAGACCTCTCGCCCGCGTGCCCCTCAAGAGCTGCCTTCTAGGCGAGGGTCGTATTGGGACCTGCTTCCAAGCCGTCAGGCATGTCTGCCTCCTAGCTCAGGCGGACATATTTTGTTCCCTGAGGACAGAGGCGACAGAATGTGTTCACCCTGTCTCTCCAGTGAACTATTCCGGCCACTGATAAGTCTGTGCTTAGAAATGCTGTGATGGCTGTGGCCCCAGGGGCTGCTGCATCCCTTGATTCCTCACCCTCCTTCCCGCCTCCCTTTCTGAGCCAGCGGTGCTGTGACCCCCAGGCTGGCCCTTTGTGCTGCAGGGGCCTCCTGTGACAGCTAACAAGGAGATAGGATGGGTATACACCCATAGTGTCAAGGTGAAAAAATGCTGGATTTTTCATCAGAGAAAATCCTTATTTTATTTCCCTGAAGGGTGAATCTTGAAGGCTCTTTGTGAGTTCTCTGACACCACAACCATCCTGGGAACTGTGTCCAGAGCAACAGGAACCTGTTCTCTCACCGTCTGGAGGCTGCGTCTGAGACCCGCTGTGGCCATGGCTGGGTTCCTCTGAAGGTGCCAGTGGGCGGTCCTTGGTCTCTCCCAGCTTCTGGCAACCCTGGGCTCGCAGATGCACTATTCCAGTTTCTGCCATTGTTTTAATAAATTGCCCGTTTAAATCTCCCTCTCCTTTTTCTTAGGACAGCAGGTGCTAAACACGTGCTTGGCCACCGGGGTCCAGTCCAGTAACCTCGCCCCTGTGCTGGGCCACAGAGGTGGGGCTGGTCCTGAGTGGGGTGGGGGCCAAGGGGGCAGACCTCAGCGCTTCTGCCCCATAGGCCACTAGGTCACGGCTTGTCCAAATTCAGCTCTCGGAAGCCCCGCTGACAGGTCAGGGGGTCCTGGGACCAGGTGGGCCCTCGGGGCAGCTGCTGGGGGGAGTGGGCCGCGCGCCACCTGGCGGGACCCCTCTGAGCTTAGGCGGCATCTGGGGGACGGCGTCGGAGGAGGGGACGACAACGTGGAGACCACCGCGGGCAGCATGCACGGCGGAAGCGTGGGGGCGGCGCCGGCGGCCGCGTGGAGCTGTGCCCCGACCCAAGGACAAGGCCAGGAGCGGAAGGAGGTGCCGGGTGGCAGGGCCCTGCTCGTCCGGCGGCCAGAAAGCAGGGCCTGGGCCAGTGGCGGCGACATCGGGGAGGGAGGCCCGCAGGGCTCGCAGCCGCCACTTTCACAGCACATCTCACCTCCCGGCAGCCTGGCACCCGAACCCCCGGGAGCCAGCCCGCCCTCCCTTGGGTCCGGCCCCCAGCCCCACTAGTCCCCTAACGTCGCGGTGGCTCAGGGTCCCTCTCCCCACGTGGCCGTCACTGCTCCGCCCTCCGCCCAAGGCCACTCCGGGAGTGCCCGGCGGCGCCCTGCTCCCGAGCAGCCTGCAGCCCCAGTGGGGGCCGGCCTACCGCCCTCGCCACGCTCAGCAGCCTCCCCAGCCGCCCCGGCGTGGGGCCCAGCAGACCCCGGCCCGTTGCCGATCCGCCGTGGGTGCTGGAATGCCCTCCCCGGGGCGCAGCCAGTCCGGGACCCACCTTCCCACCAGCCCCCCACCGTCCGCCCCGGGGGGCCCTGGGGCCTCTCCCGACAGCTCTGGTAATGCTGAGCCAGGGAAGGGCTGCACGCCCCCTGCCGTTAGGTGAGGGGCTTCGTATTCACTCCACAAACATTTCAGCACCCTGCGAGCCAGGCCCTGGGGACCCGGCAGTGAACAAAGGGGCACAAAGTCCTTCCCCAGGGCCTACCTTCCAGCGGAGGGAGGGACAGACAGTGAATAAAATGAGGAAGATGGTTAATTCAGTGGTAATGAGTTCAAGGGAGAAAGGCAGGGAGGGAGTTGCGCGGTTTAAAGGTGGTCTGGGGGGATGGGAGTGGGGGAAGCTGACTGGGAGAGTGGCTGCTGGTTATCGCCAGGCCCAGGGGAGGGAAGAACAAGAATTGTCTAATTACCTGTGTTCTATTTCTGTTTTTTGAACTTTGAATCAGGAATAAAAAGAATTTAATCAAGGTCCCAAGGCAATTTAAAATTGTATAAATATTTTTCCAAAATTCAACTGTACTGGCTATATTCATCACTGCAGAGGGCTGAACAACACTTAGGGGAAGTCAAGAAAGCTAATTCTTCTCCTCAGAAGGTCTGGCTCATGAAATTACCAGGACACAACCCCAGATTTTAAATCAATATTTGCACTTTTTAGAAGATGAGTCTATTGCATTATTTATGGAGCGAGCTATATTTCCATAAAAAGAGGGGCAGTAACTAGGAATTCCTTATCCTAAGCAAAATCTTTGACAGACAGTGAGAAATGCTGCAATTTTATATAATTTTTGTAATGGGAATTCTGCTTATTTGAGTGACTGTAATGAGTCTTCCATTTATTTTAGACAGAATTAGCATTTCAGGCTCAGATGGTCCCAGGTTCTTACAGAGCTGGAGATGCATGAAGCTAACAGCTAATGAATTCATACCTGTGCACCTTCATCCATCATGGTCCCTTTTCTTCAGGAAATAAGAATTATGCAATAACATTTCCTATCCATTTTTGGACACTGAAAAAAGCCTGTGGCGTTATAAGCGCCCATGTTTACCAGCTGAGCTGTGGCCCCTCGTGGGCTCTGCTTGAGGGGTATACTCACCATCCACTCTGTTCTCTCGATAATGGGGCCATTCGGGCTCCACCACGAGGTGTGGGCTCCGGCTGCCATGTGCCCTGCACAGCAGCTTGGGCGGGAGTAGGTGCCTAGTGAATGTCTAACCAGAACCAAAGACAGACAGCAAGGCCCAAGGATGACCACATGTGTTGAAAGCCACCTCGTAGGTGAAAGTGAAAAATGCAGCCAATCATCAGCATGTCCCCAAAATTCAATACATGGTTTCTCATTAATCACAGACTCAGATGTCACTTGAATGGCTTTTCTCTGAGTGTTCTAGAGCAGAATAGAAACAACCATAGCAAGAGAAATGTGAGTGGTCCCCCCTGGGACACAGGATTCTCCTGCAGGTGGGCCCTGCTGTTTAAGTTAATGAGTATCTAGTGTTGCTACAATCAAGGTCTCATCTGTGAAGTGGGCGTTTTGGGGTGTGAGGCCTGTGGGGTGTGGGTGGTTATCAGGCAGACAGCAACAGAAGAGGGTATACTAGGACCAGGAAAATCTTGCCTTGGGAGTGTGTCAGTGAGCCATGATCATTTATAGATATTTGTTTCACATTTACCTAATATGTTGCCAACATACACAGAAACATGCACATGCATGGAACCTTGATATACAAATGTACTTATCAGGCAGGACCCTTGCAGTTATGAATGACAAAAAGTGAAAGCTATCTTTAAAAAATGAAGGGAATTAGTTGGTTAGATTAATTTAAAGTCTCTGCCTTCAGGTGCAGTTTGATCAAGGGTGGAACTCAATCCCCACCCAATTGGCTGGTCTCTGTCCTCCTGCACGTGGGGCGCTTTTCCCTCAGCCTTGCTTCCACGTGGAGCAAAATGGCAGCAGCTGTGCCAGGCCTCCTGCCCGCCGGAGGGAGGTCCCAAGGCATTTCCTTTGGAAGCACAGCAATTTCCTCCTAAACCAAGTCTCCCTGAACTCCTCATTCCCTTCCATGTTTTCTTTTATAGGACTCAGAAGGCCCAGAGGTCCCTTCCACAGGCACTACCCAGAGCTGGAGGATTCTAGCGGAAGGAACTTATTCTACATTTTATTCTTAATTATGAGACATAATAACTGCCTCAAGTCAGATACTGGGTATTTTACACATATGTTCTTATTTCTCACAAAAATCACACATGGTGTAATCCTTGCTCTTTTAACTAAGAACAGAGGAATCAGTAAGTTACACAACTTGCCTAGGGGCAGAGTGATGGTGACTGGCATGAAATAAAGTATTTGAACCTTTAAAAACACCAGCTGAACCCATCATGAAGCCGGTACCCATATGTCTTGGGAGAGGGTAAAGTCTGTGGAAGGAATGGCCTCTGCTCCCAGCAGCCTCTGCTCCCAGCATGCTGCCTCCCCAGGACCCTCAGAGCCTGTGCAAGCCTGGTGCTGAGTGAGCACTCACCGCACTGAATCAGAGACTCCTTGGGTTCCAGGCCAGCATGAATGGCGGTGTCAGCATCCTCCGGCTTGCTTTCACGTTGAGGCTGAGGCTTGCAACATGGCCTTGCACACCTGTTTATCCTTTGGGCCTTAGTTCGTGCAGAAAATGAGAGAAGGGTTGGGAGGCGCCTGGCTGTGGAGGCACCCTGGCCTAGGCAGGGCCATCCTGGGCGAGCAGAGCAGATGGTCAGCAGAACTCAGCCCTGCTGCACCTCGGTGGGCACAGTGGGCCTGCGGACCACGTCCCTGAGGCACAGCAGGCCTCACATCCCTGCACGCTTCCTCGAACAGTGCTACAGGCATGGCCTGAGGGACATGGAGGCTCTCTGCCCAGGCATAAAACCACAGAGGTACATGTTTGAGGTGGGTGTTTGGGGCAGGACAGGGGCTCCTGTCCCCCCACCGTCCGCCCCGGGGGGCCCTGGGGCCTCTCCCGACAGCTCTGGTAATGCTGAGCCAGGGAAGGGCTGCACGCCCCCTGCCGTTAGGTGAGGGGCTTCGTATTCACTCCACAAACATTTCAGCACCCTGCGAGCCAGGCCCTGGGGACCCGGCAGTGAACAAAGGGGCACAAAGTCCTTCCCCAGGGCCTACCTTCCAGCGGAGGGAGGGACAGACAGTGAATAAAATGAGGAAGATGGTTAATTCAGTGGTAATGAGTTCAAGGGAGAAAGGCAGGAAGGGAGTTGCGCGGTTTAAAGGTGGTCTGGGGGGATGGGAGTGGGGGAAGCTGACTGGGAGAGTGGCTGCTGGTTATCGCCAGGCCCAGGGGAGGGAAGAACAAGAATTGTCTAATTACCTGTGTTCTATTTCTGTTTTTTGAACTTTGAATCAGGAATAAAAAGAATTTAATCAAGGTCCCAAGGCAATTTAAAATTGTATAAATATTTTTCCAAAATTCAACTGTACTGGCTATATTCATCACTGCAGAGGGCTGAACAACACTTAGGGGAAGTCAAGAAAGCTAATTCTTCTCCTCAGAAGGTCTGGCTCATGAAATTACCAGGACACAACCCCAGATTTTAAATCAATATTTGCACTTTTTAGAAGATGAGTCTATTGCATTATTTATGGAGCGAGCTATATTTCCATAAAAAGAGGGGCAGTAACTAGGAATTCCTTATCCTAAGCAAAATCTTTGACAGACAGTGAGAAATGCTGCAATTTTATATAATTTTTGTAATGGGAATTCTGCTTATTTGAGTGACTGTAATGAGTCTTCCATTTATTTTAGACAGAATTAGCATTTCAGGCTCAGATGGTCCCAGGTTCTTACAGAGCTGGAGATGCATGAAGCTAACAGCTAATGAATTCATACCTGTGCACCTTCATCCATCATGGTCCCTTTTCTTCAGGAAATAAGAATTATGCAATAACATTTCCTATCCATTTTTGGACACTGAAAAAAGCCTGTGGCGTTATAAGCGCCCATGTTTACCAGCTGAGCTGTGGCCCCTCGTGGGCTCTGCTTGAGGGGTATACTCACCATCCACTCTGTTCTCTCGATAATGGGGCCATTCGGGCTCCACCAC